TTTTGTCTTTGGATTCGAACTGATTGTAGATGAATTTCTACTGGCAGAACTGCATCATGACCAAATGTGAGTTGGAAAGGCGTGGTGTTAGTAGCTTCTTTAGGAGATGTTCTACAGGCCCATAGTATTTGGTCCAAAGTTTTGTGCCAGTTCCTTGGCTTTTTACCAATATGTTTCTTGATTAACCCTATTATCACTTTATTAGCTGCTTCGACCTGACCATTTGCTTGAGCATAATATGGCGTTGATGTTAGTAATCTAAACCCCATTTCTTGAGCAAATTCTTGCATCTTTCTACCAGTAAACACAGAACCTTGGTCTGTGGTTATGCTCTCTGGCAATCCGAACCTATAGATAATTTGTTTCTGTATAAACTCAATAATAGCCTCTTGATCAGCAACTATTAATGGTATTGCTTCGATCCACTTGGTAAAATAATCTATTCCTACCAAGATATATTTCTGTCCTTTAGACGAAGCAGGATTTATTTCTCCTATTAAATCCAATGCACATCCTCTAAATGGCCATGGTTTAATGATTGAATGCAACTCACTTGCCGGGGCATGTTGAATCCCTGCATGTTTCTGACATTCTTCACAACCTTTAGCAAAGTCTATACAATCTTTGAGCATGCTGGGCCAATACATGCCATATCGAAATAACAGCCATTTCATTTTATGACCTGCTTGATGTGCCCCACATGCCCCATTGTGGACTTCTGACAATGCTAAGTATGCCTCACTTTCTCCTAGGCATTTCAGTAATACGCCTTCTTGGGTCTTTTTGAACAATTTGTTTCCCATGAGGACATATGACAATGCTCTATATTTTATCTTCCTATCAACATTCAGAGTTGGGTTTGTTAAATAACTCACAAGTGGACTTCGCCAATCTGCATCTGATAAAGTGTTTATGGCTAATATTTCGAATCCCTGTTTCTCAGTATAACCCAATTTCATACTCTCTAGATCTGATGGTGTGAATCTAGTAGCCATAACTCTACCCCTTAATTCAACTAAATCCTCAAAGTTTCTGGCAGAAACTTTATAACCTGAAGCCAACTGTGCTAAGTCATTTGCTTCTTGGTTTTCTATTCTTGGTATATGTTGAATATCCATGTATTAAAATTTTCTAAGTAGCCTGTTAACTATGACGAAGTATATCATCAGGTTTTCCTTTATGCATTTATACTCCTTTGTTATTTGCTTGACCACTAATTCTGAGTCTCCTTTAATTTCGACTCTAGTTGCCCCCAATTCCAACAAAGCTTCAAGTCCAACAATGAGTGCTTCATACTCAGCTTCGTTGTTCGAGAAACGAGGACCATCTAATTTATACTTGAATTTTGTTGGAATTCCTTCAGGAGAAATTAGAAGGACTCCAACACCACTTCCATTCCTGTGGGTCGAACCATCAAAGTATAATTTCCATGGTTGCATTTCGACGTAACTCATGACAGTCTGTTCAACCAATGAATGGTCCACAATGAAATCAGAAATCACTTGGCCTTTCACAGCTTTTAAAGGCATGAAAGTCAAAGAATATTCTGTTAAGGCTAAAGCCCATTTGCCAACTCTTCTATGCATTATTGGTTTTGAAAGCATGTGTTTAATGACATCGAAATGAGATGAAACATAAACATCAACAGGCTTTATATAATACTTGAGTTTCATACAAGAGAAGTACAAACAGAGACATAGCTTTTCTAAATTGCTATATTTGGTCTCTGCATCATTCAATACTCTACTTAAATAGTATATGGCTCTTTCGATGCCATTGATATCTTCTTGTGCTAACATACTACCTATACTAACTTCAGAGGCAGATATGTACAATCTCATGGGCTTTCCCCATGAAGGTGGAGACAAGATGGGAGGCTGAGAGAGATATCTTTTTATCTTGTCAAATGCCTTCTGATGGGCTTCGTTCCACTCGAAGGCTTGGCCTTGCTTTAAACAAAGCAACGGAGAGAAAGCTTGGGTTCTTCCACTCAGATTCGAAATGAACCTTCTGAGAAAGTTAATCTTCCCTAGCAAAGATTGCAGCTCCCTTTTTGACGTAGGTGCTTTCGTCTCCATTATGGCTTTGGTTTTGTTTTGGTTGATCTCAATTCCTTTCTTGTGAACCAAAAAGCCAAGGAAATCTCCAGCCTGCACAAAAAATGCACATTTAAGGGGATTCATCTTTAAGCCATGTTTTCTCATTCGTTCGAATGATTGGCTCAAATGATGCAAATGGGTTTCTGCAGATATAGATTTGATGACTATATCATCAATATACACCTGCATAAAGGTTTCAATGAAATCATGGAAAATCGAATTCATTGCCCTTTGATAAGTTGCCCCAGCGTTTTTTAAACCAAAAGGCATCACCACCCATTCGTAGGTGCCTAAGGCTCCTGGGCAACGAAATGCTGTCTTGGCAACATCTTCTTCAGCAATAAAAATCTGATTATACCCAGAGTATCCATCTAACATACTTAAATATTCGAATCCTACAGCAGAGTCTACTAACATTTCTGCCACAGGCATGGAGTACTCATCCTTAGGGGTTGCAGTGTTTAAATCCCTAAAATCTATGCAGATTCCCAAAGAACCATTTTTCTTAATAACAGGCACTATATTTGCTAACCATTCGACATACCTTATGGTTCTGATGAATCTGCAACGCAGCAACCTTTCGATCTCAGCTTTGATCTTTGTGAGAACCGCTGGTGCGAATCTTCTTGGAGTTTGCTTGATGGGCTTCTTGCCATCTTTGATTGGAAGTCTGTGTTCGACTAACTCCCTCTTTAAACCAAGCATTTCGTCATAATCCCATGCGAAGCAATCTTTGTTTTTCTTGAGGACTTCGATCACTTCCTGCTTGAGGCCTGGGCTAAGTTTTCACTTATGTAGGTTATTCTTTTCGTGTTTTCATCCCCTAAGTTCACTTCTTCGAGTGGATCCTGCGCCAACATTTTGGCACCTGAGTCTATGGGGTCCCTCTCGAAGCCTAAGGGTTCTTTATCATAGATGGCGTCCAACCTTTGATCTATCTCAAGTTCTTTAAAGGGTGAGCCTTTCAAGCTATCCCCATTTATTTCGTTCATCTTTACAGCCAGTTTATTCATTTCAGCCTCTAAGGCCGCCTTTGATTCGTTCTCAGCCATATAGGCCGAAATCCTTTCGAAAAAGGAGGACTCAGTCATGAGTAAGGTTGTCGAATTCCCAGCCTGCTGGCCGTCTTTGTATAGTACTTTCGACTCCTTCGTCTTTACTGATTATTCTTCTATCCCAATATATGCCATCATGGCGAAGGGTCATATAGTAGTGGGCGTTTCTGGTTTCGTTGATTTCATCATTTGGGACACAAGGAGCAATCTTTGCCAGATGTTTGTCATAATTCCTCTTGTCAACTAAGTTGACTGCTGACATGAAGTAACTCTGGTCCGCTTCAATGTTTTCCACGATCCCATCTTCTCTCCATAAAACTAATCGCTGGTGCATTGACGAAGGAACTGCCCCTATGCCATGGATCCACTCCCTTCCCAGCAACAAGTTGTAGTTGGCCTTGGCTTCGATCACCCTTAACATGGTGGGCCTACAGCTTGAGCCTATTTTCAAGTCCAATTGAACCACCCCCAGTGTTTTGCCTACTTTCCCTTTATAATTGGATAGAACCATGTTGTGTGGTTTGATGTCTCCTTCGCGTATTTCTAACCTCTTCAGCATGAAATGGGGTATTAAGTTAACTGCAGCGCCCCCATCCACTAGAACCTTATTCACGCCATGGGCACCAACCTTTGCCCGAATAAATAATGGCTTCAGATGATTCTTCATAGCTAGTTCTGGACGTTCGAAGAACGCATTCTGCTCCTCGACAGCTCCATTATCCATCACGTAGTAGCACACAGGCCTATGCTTCATCAGGTCTATGGTATCTTCTTCCTCATACTCTTCTATTTCAATTTCCTGTCCAAACTCACAGGGAAGCACAGATACCACGTTGCAATTGATATTGAACGAAGACTCCCCCTCTGACTCGAAATTATCCGTTAGCATATCTTTGTCTTCTTCTGGACCTGGAGTGTATTCCTTTGGTTCATCTAGTTGTACTTCAGAGAAGAGCCTCCTATTAACTGGGGGTTTATCTTCAGTTTGATTTTTTGGCGTAGGTTTGTTGGTGCTAGATTCACCTTGGTTTTTTGTTGAAGTTGCCCCTTTATTTGCCACAGCTTCCCTTTCAGCCTTTCGAATCCTCTGTTGCCTTCGCCATTGAGATCTTGACATGGGGTTTCTTCCTTTGTAGTTCTCTAATCTCACCTCTTCCCTTTTCGCTATGTTGAACTGCCTTCTATATGTCATAGCATGGCGTGCGTTTCGTTCATTGTTTCTCCATTTGTCTTTGCCTTTGTCATTTCTGACTTGCAGCCATTTGTCTATTGGCGCTTCAGCAGGAATTTTGAACATCACTCTTCGAGCACCCTTGGGATGAGGACTATCAGGCCTTCGTTGTTTGTATTTGCTATCAAAACATGGGCGCATCTGAACAGTTTCTTGGTGGTTCCAGCAAGGGGCGAAAGGGATTGTTTCGAAGGCTCTGGCCATGCTTTGATCATACACAGTAGAACACCTTGGGCATATCAAGCATTTGGTTGCCCCTTTGTAGCAGTGAAGCACAAATTCCAGCAAACTTTCTCCAGCTTTAGGATAACACCTGAATAGCTAGTTATCCTGGCGCCAGTTGTTGCCAGTTCGCGCCCTTTGTACCCTCTCGAAGTTTGCAGCGATTCTCTGATTGCAGAGGATGTTGCACCTAGGGCATAGTATCATTCCTGTATCTCCTTTGTGGCACATCATGAGGTAATCCTTGAGACTAGCATCTCCAGCATGATTATCCTCCATTTTATACTTCTCTTTTTCTAAGCATCTCTCCACCTCCCCCATCTCAGAGCGAGGTCTCTCCATATCCACCATGTTTACCTCAACATCCTCCCCCTTAGCGTCATCGTCTCCCCATCATGTGGGTTTTATATCTTCAATGTGGACCTTTGAACTCTCTGGGGCAGAATATTTGACCAAGTAGTCAAACTTTCCACTGGGTTCCCCTAAAGTATCCCATATTTCTTTCTGAGGGGAGGTTGGCTTCGTGATTTGGACTTTCTCCATTTCTAGCCTCAGGCCTTCAGTAACCTGTGTCAACTCTTGGTTTTGGTTTTCCTGGCCTTCAGTAGCCTGGATTTCTTTTGCAACAGCTAAAGGTGCTGCTTCAATCAAAGTCTCTGGTTACTTGTGGACGTCTTCAGTGACCCCCTTATTGACTTCGACTATCACCCAGCTTTCATTTTCAGTACCTTTCTCTCCTACTGGAGCGTCACTTTGGACAACTTCCACCATGTTAATTTCTCCAATGCATGCAGGCTCGGAGTAATTGGTGTCTGCGATGTCCAAAGGGTCTTCGTCCACTTTCATTTTTGCTTTATCAGCAAACTTCAGTCTGCCATCTTTAATTGCATTCTGAATTAGGTCCCTGAAAAGAAAACACTGTGAGGTTTTGTGGCCTAGGAAACTATGATACTTGCAAAATCCTCTTTTCTTTCTTTGATCTAAAGGAGGTATTTTTACATTTGATGGCACAATGAGTTGGCCATCTTTGACAAGTAAATCAAAAATCTCGTCGCACTTAGTGACATCGAAGGTATAAACCTTCTTTGGGAATTTGTCACTTTTCTCATTTTCAACAATTTCTTTCCCTTTTGTGGGAACTAATAATTTGCAGGAGTAAGGTGGTGCTTGTTTTAATTCAGCGAGGTCGATTTTGACCTCTTCGAATTCGAATTCAGGATAATCTTCTGCTTCCTCAGTTCCAACATAGGAGATCCTTTCCTTCTTGTTATTTTTAAAGACTCTGGCCTTTTCGGCCTTTAGCCTTTCGACCTGTCGAACCCTATCGGCTAATTGAGCCATATCCCTCAAGTATTGAGTGTCTAATTTCTTTCGAATAAAGTAATCCAGGCCGCCGGGAGCCATTTCGACTAACTCATGTTCAGGAACTACTGTAAAACATCTAGATTTCAAGAGCCTGAATCTATTCAGATAATCATCTATGGGTTCAGTAAACTTCCTCTTGACACTGGCTAGTTCCTTCAGACTTATTTTTGATTGTCCCATGTAGAACTGTTCATGGAATAATCTCTCCAAAAGAGCCCAAGTATCAATGGACCCAGGAGGCAAAGTGGTGAACCATGTGAAAGCGTTCTTAGTCAGGGAACTCGGGAAATATTTGATCCCAAGGTCTTCATTATTGGCTATATCTCCTGCTTCGGTTAGATACATGGCTATATGTTCGACTGTTGACTCATTGGTATCCCCAACAAACTTTGTAAACTTAGGGACTTTATATCCCCTTGGTAAATCAGTGTGCATTATGTAATCTAATATAGGGGAGGCATAATTTGGCCTTCTAATTCCTGTGTTGAGGCCATTCTGGGCCATGATTCTCTCTATCATGGTGGTTAAATTATTTTCTGCCAAGATGTTATCATTTCGAATTCTATGAACGACTGCATCAGCATCTTGATTTCGACCCACCATGACAATCCCTCTAGGTTGTTCTTCTCGAAACTCTGGGACTTCTAGCCTTTCGACCCTTGCCCCTGGTTCCATAATTTCCCTTTGTGGGCCTTGGATCATTGGGGCTTCTAGCCTTTGTGCCCTTGCCCCCAAATTAACCTCCTCTCTGGCTGGTCTATAGGGTGGGTCGTTAGCAACTTGTTCTATAATAGGTACGTTCGCTCGAACTCCCGCCTGATTCTGCCTACGCCTCTCTGGGGGAGCGAAGAAATCTGCTATTCGACTCATGTTATTTGCATTTTCTCTGTTTGTCACAATTACATTTTGTACTATTGGGGCAAAGATTTCCTGTATAGTTTGTGCTAACACTCCTATCATATTATGGTTACTGTCATCCATCAATTGCCTAAAAGCCAACTGGTTTTCTGTGGTTAAGATAGGCATTGCACTATAACCCACTGACCCTTGGTTATTTGTCATAAACTGATTTGCCCCAGATCCAGACCCTAATTGTGGTGATGAATTCGATGTGGAATTGTGTAAGCCTGCCATAAAAGATGTTGGCATTCCATAAGAGGAATTTCTGGTTCTATTACCATCGAAATCGGGTGGTCTAGTTAGTGGGGTGGCGAAATGGGTTTGTGTCCCTGATGGTGGGACGAATCCCCCAGGATAGCCAATGGTTCCAGTATTTCCTAGGATCGAACTATTAGTTGATATGCCACTTATTCCATTAGTGGCTATATTACTGGTAGAGGATGCAACAGACTGTGCATTCGAAGGGATCACATTAGATGTTCCCATCGAGGCGGACATATTAGTGCCTGTTGTATGTGGGATATTTTGTTTCCCTTGTTGATTGTCAGAATTAGACATCTTGTTCAAACGTTTTCTTCTGGATAAGGGTTGGTTGCTATTGGTTATTCTACCACTTCTAAGGTTCATAAAACAACAAACTTATCGCTCAGAGAGTATTTTTACAATGGTTACGTCTCAACAATTTTTTATTTTGTTCTAAATTTTGTAATGGCCAATGACGGGTCCCACCGGGTGTGCCAATTTGTTTACAGTGATTTCTGGTAAACAACCGTTAGTCCTCCAAACTATCAAATAATCTTAATGACTGTTATTTAATCTCTCTGGTAACTCGCAGGATCGACTAGATTGATCCTATGATGTATTGGTCATTTGGATAATTCTCATTATAGAACTGGTATTCATGGTTGGTATTTAGAATGTTGTGTAGGTGTTTAACTTACTTCGATTACTCTATTAAAGATCTAATAACTTGATCAAGTAAATGCGCGCGAAACTAAATTGCATGAATAAAGTTCAATTGTAAAGACATATAAAACTGCAGAAAAGACAAGTAAATGACTTCGAAGCATAAAAACATGTAATGTAAAAGATTCTTTGGAATGTAAAAGATTCGAAATATGAAGAAAGCGTTTAAAGGCAAGAAAACAGTAAAATGACTTTAAGTGAAAAAAGGTGTTCGAATGATAAAAGTTTGAAGATAAAGGCATGAAATGTACAAAAGTTTCTGAAATGTAAAGTATTTAAAATGGAAAGAAAACATTTAAATGTAAGGCATCAGTAAAAAGACTTCGAATGAAAATATTTTAATGTAAAGGATTTTGAATGATATTGACATGAAGATAGAGGAAAATACTGGAAATGATAAAGAGTTTTATTAAATCATAAACACTTGGTGTTATCATACGTACATTGCTCGTGCATTCGTTTCCCTAGCCATGTGGTATTTTGAATGTTTACTGAGTTTTTTTGTACAATAGACATGACACACGAAATCCTAATGCTAAGACTTCTATTTATACTACTTCGACCATAACGGTCTTGCTATAAGATTCTGCCACGTTCAGAACATGCAAAGCAATGCCTCTCTCTAGCTTCCACGCGTCTTCGAATGCTCCAGCGCATATATTTTAAATTTCGAACATCCCGCTTGCATTTGAATTTCAAATGTTTTGGCACTTCTTCGCTTCGAACACATTTCTTGGACACAGCCTTGTTATCACTTCGAGACTTCTTTTGAAGATATCCTCATAACTGTCACTCGAAGCTCTAAGCTTTGATATGCCCATTCGAAGCACTGCTTCTACCATTTCGAAACATGACATCTTGCTTTTCTTCGAACAATATCATCAAAATCTTCAGCCAACAATATGGTGGAATCATAAATGCATTTTCGGTATTCGAGGGGAAATTTAGGAATTGCAAAGGGTCTTTATTTTGGACATGGGGTGGAATAAGGAATCCCCTTATTTAAATAGGTCGGCCTGATAGGCTTAAAAGGCTTTTTGATGGCATAAGGCATGGCCATTTTACCTAAATAGGCTTATAAAAAAGCTTAGGCTTTTTCTATTTAAAAAAAAAATCTTGCTTGATTTGAGCATGTGTAGGCTAGGCTGTAGCCCCTTGTTAGTTGGTCTGGCATATTCCTACCCATCTCCCATGAGGAGGGATGTTGGTGTTGATGTTGATATGATTATTTATGAGAAATTATATGACCTTGAGTTTCATGTTGACATGAAATATTATGATGAATTTAATAATATTTGAAAAGTTTTACATAATTATATGTTATGAATTATATTTATTTGTATGAGTTGTGAACTGTTGGTATAATTATATTCTAATGAATATAATTATATGTTGTTGATATTGAGACATGTAGTTCAGAGTGGGAACTGTTGTGATTGCCTTATATGTTGTTGTGTGCGGTTCGAAGTGGAATTAATAGCGTTGTTGCATCTTTATGTCATATATCTTATGTTATGTTGAGAAATGTAGAGTCACTGGTTCATAAGAGGGGATCAATGATGAGTAAGTGATCAGTTGTTGGTTCAGAAGATGGGACCGGTGATGAGTAAGTGACAAGTTGTTGATTTAGAAGTGGGGGTCAGTGATGAGTGTGAGTTCGAAGAGGAACCACGATGAGTGGATGAATATCAGTAACATAACTATGATATCTATAAAATGGTATCATATGCATTTAGTCGAGGGTGTCGGTCACATTGCATACATAAAATCATTGTGAATTATTTAGTTGTTATGAATATGCTTGATGTGTTTGTTGATTTGTGTGAATATGCTACCCTTATTATGTTTTACACTGCTAATGTATTTGAGCGTGTTCTCACCCTTTTTTTCCGATTGTGTGGTGTTATATATGTTGTGGTTCATATATCTAAGAGGAGAACTAGTTGATGTGAGTTGGAAGATGGCATTGAGGCTTTCTTCTTTTAATTATCGCTCTACATTGTTTTAGTTTCGGTTGTTCAAATTTGTAATTATGGGAACGAGGCGTTTGTTAATGTTTAAATTAATGTTTTGAATTATTTAATTTAGTCCAACACTTTATTTTTGAAGATATAACATGAAGTATGTCTTATTTGTTGAGTTCCGTTGCATGTGTTAATTGAAAGAGTGTGATATGACGAGTATATGTAAAACCTTTTGAAAAAATAATTGGTTAATCTTTTATAAATAAAAAATTGGGCTTTTAGAGTATTACATCACCCCTCCTTCAAATTCAACCCTCATTTAAAGAATCTTCCATCATAAAATGCTAAAAAATATTATTTAAAAAACAAATTCAAAACCCTCAATTTCTTTCCCCTCCAAACTCACAAATATGATCTTATTCCACTCATTTAAATTTCTAAATTTATCACTAAGCGCAAATGTAGAAAAAGATACTCCATATATTTTTTCTATGATAAATAATATAGATGTTTTTCGTGCAATTTAAATTGATTTTGAAATAAAAATTACTTTGCTTCAAAACTAAATTTTTGTTATCGTGAAAGTTTGTCGTGCTTTTGGCAATTACAACACATATCCAAACACTCTAGCATCCAACTACTGTTTATGTT